TTTCTCACATCTCACAGGGCCTTGAAGTAAAAATCTTGAGACAGAAAACTTAAAGTTAGCCAAAACATTACATGCTGACCCTGCTGACCGTAAAGACTCAAGCTCTGGAAAGTACCACAGAGTGTCTTCAAGGCTTGCTGCTTATCACTAACAGCAGGTATTCTAGCCACTGACCTTGCAACTGCCCTACTTAGCTGCCAAACTGCCCCACTTAGTTGCCTGGCTATCGAGCCCCTCCTTCCCTTCCCCCTTTCCTCAGTTCCCCCTGCCCGAGCTCCTTACTGGGGAGTATTTAAGACATGAAACTTGCTTCAATAAACAGATGCCTTGACAAGGAATATTGCTTGGCGTCCGTTTCCCGCCCCCCCCCCCCCATGTCTTTCAGATAGTGCCTCTTCAAGACCCTGGAGTAACTTAAGACCTGCTGGGCAGGTTGAGCAAAGTCCTTTAGGAAAGCCAATTTTCCAGTATTTGGAGCTTTGCAGTCTTTTAATGTCACAACTAAAGAAACACCACTCCTTAAATTGACAGTAATAAAGCTGGAACTCCAAAGATGAGATCACTGAGCACAAACACGAAGGTAAGTAGTGCCAAGACAAAAAGGAAACTAATCGAAACAGTATACATTTCTACTTGAATCAATGGCCATTAACAAACTCTACCCATTCATGAGTCTTCTTATCTTGAAAACTAAGGGAAGATAAATCACAGAATTTAGATTATGGTTTATTAAACCTTTTATTTGAATTTCTCAAGTAAATTAACTTATGCCTACTAAACAGGAAATAAAGATAAAGACTTTCTTCACTCTGATGTGTAAATATCTGTAAGCAGATTATTAAAAAAGAGAGCACACACAAAATTCTGTGTGCTTATGTATGGCAAATACATGTTCCATTATCACAAGTTCTCATCCTACATTTTAAAGAGCCTAATTTAATATGAGCTTTATCCTGGGCATTGTACTCCAACAATAAATAGTGAGATTTAAAGTCGAGGTGGAAGGAGATATACGCTAACAAATGTAAACAAGACATGCCGAATAAGATGTCATGCAGAAATTTTTTAATGTTATGTTCCATAATTACAGGTGCAGGAGGCTGGAGATCAGGGAATTGTCATGAATGGGCAGGAGACACAGATATAGAGGTCTACTATTTCTACATACAAGATAAAGCCACGACTGGACTGATGACAGTTCAGGAGAATTATAGAGTGAGCAGAGAAGAAATCCCAGGACTGAACACTGAGAAAACAAGTTCTTGAGAATCCTCACAAAAACATGAGAAGTCAAAATTGGCAAATAGCAGCTGAAATAACAAGAAAACAAATGCAGAAGAGTGAGAGCAAACACAGGAGTCTGCCATGATGGAAGTCGCTGTGACCTGGAGGAACACCAGCTCAATGGACTAGAGTTGAGAAGAATCTTGAAGCAAAAGTAACCTTCCCTCGGTGCTAACACTTCAAGCACTACTTTAATTTAAATTGATATTATTCTAATTTTCCCACAGTATAAACTTCTAACGTAATAGTCTTAGCACCTGCATAAATAGCCAGAATTTGAGAAAGCTAATTGTTATGTCAGAAAATGAGGCACAGTTAAAATGATTAAAGTAAGCTATTTGCTCATGAGTAGCAGTATTTTGATTTTCTCAACCCTCACATGGTAATGTGTTCATCAATTATAGTATTCTGCACATTAACACATTTTAAAAAGCTATATTCAAGCTAAATGTTCATTAAAACTAAGATCCATCTTTACCTACAACAATGCTGTCTAAGCAGTACAATGGAGGAGTGGGGAGCCTCAGAACAACAGGAAGCCAATGATTAACATAGACACATATACAAGTTAGATTCCACCTGTTATCTCACACACTTTGAAGTAGCTCCCCCACCTCCTCAGTCCCGACTGCCAACAGCAGGCTATATAATGAACCATCTGTACCAGAACAGTAAGAGCCAATTGAGATGGGCTGATAGTACCAAAGAAATCTCATTTTTAAATTCATTTTCTCCCTAGTGCACTGTTAGTCTAAGGAACATTTTTAATTGCATGATAAATCTAACATGTTGGCAAAATCTTAACTTTGTAAAACTTGAGCTTTTTAATGTCACTTTGATGATTGTTATGGTTGATTTCTTAGCTGCCCTCTTGCATTAGAAGGAAAAGCTGATGACCCCATGAACCAAAACACTGGGAGGAGAAGTCTGAAGCCATGTGCCTTAATAGAAGAGTCAGAAATCTTGGCCAGTCTCTTATGATTTGACTGAACTACTCAATTAGACTTTTTCAAGGGTTAGCTGTGGTCCTTAGAACAGCCATATTAATGAATATCTGAAAAGAAACAGCCATTCTTTGATGTAGGAGGTCTTTCTGCATTTGTGTTGCTTTCACTGGTTATTAAAGAAACTGCCTTGGCCTAGTTGACAGGGCAGATCTCAGGTAGGCAGAGAAGACAGAACAGAATTCTGGGAAGAAGGGCAGAGTAGCAGATGTCACGAATCTCTGGCCTGAGACAGATGCTGGTTAGAATCTTTCCCGGTAAGCCACAACCTTGTGGTAAGCAAAGATTAATAGAAATGGGATAGATCAAGAAGTAAGAGTTAGCCAAGAAGAGGCTAAATATAATGGGCCAGGCAGTAATTTAATAACCACAATTTCTGTGTGGTTATTTTGGGTGCTAAGCTAGTCAAGTGGCGGGATGCGGCCCACTCCCTGTCATACAACAATTCTTAAGATAGAGAATAGGTGTGATTTTTTTTTTCCTACTGAATTAATAGTGCTCATCAGAAAAGCTTTTGCTCCTAAAGCAAACACCATCAAACCTTTACATAAGCTAGTCAGCTGATCCATGTCCTCACAAAGCACATGAGGTGTCAGGAGACTACAGTAGTTTTCAATGGCTATCAAGAACATGATACATTTGCTAACTATCTTTCCTCTCTCGTAACTGAAGATATTCCTAAAGTCATGATGAACACACTTTGTACAAAAGACTTCCGCTAGAAAGTCCTGTATTTCAATGAGTGTTTTAAAGGATGGGAAAATTAGATTAAAGTGATTCTTCCATTTCCTATATTGTAACTTAGTTATTTCTTTTTCCCCCTACTTAGATAAAGCAGTTTCCTCCAGGACCTGGCAATTTAAGAGCAATGTTTCTACTTAATAAAGTGTATGTGTAATGTAACTACAAAGAACAAAAACTCATGCATGGTCCCTCCTCCTTAAACTTAAAAAGGCTTGTAAACCTACCCGAAAGATAAAGACTGTCAATGACCACAACACCTGTTAGGGTTCTTCCTCCCACCAGGGTGATCTCTCTATCCTATCCCACACCTTAACTGGCCTCGTTCATTCTGCCAGTCAGTCAGTGTTTAAGTACATATGTCCTTAAAAGTGCTATAAAAAACACCAGAAATAAATGGCAAATCATTCAAGAAGCTTACAGCATTGTCATAAACTCTGACAAGTAAGCACTGGCCCTGGTATACTATGGAACACACTCACAAATACAACAAGAAAGAAAGACGTAGCAGTGAAGCAGCAAACAGCAGGGTCACAATCCAAGAGAGTATACATACGAGAGACAGACTAGGGAATGGAGCAGGAAGCAAGGGATAAGTAAGGAAAATTAAGTAACACTAAAAGTAGAATTCATTCTTACTAGAATAAGTAACAAGTAAGGTTAACTCAGATGTCAAGTCAGTCAGACTCAGCCCAGACACAGGAAAAAATAGAATATCTCTGCTACTTTAAAGCATCTTTATTTTATAAATGCTATAGAAATAGCTGTCCTCTTGTAGTATTTAGGCCATGACAATAGAGCCATATACATGTTTTGTAAAGATGCAACTTCATAAAGAATGTACAGATATGGTGGGCTAAATGTGCACACAGATGTGTGAACATGTCTCAATATCTGACCTAGACCTTAAAGCTCCATCTTAAATTTCTTTGAATTGGACTTTTATTTCTTCCAATACCTACAATGCTTAGGAGATCCTCACAAATCCATCTTCATAGATTAATTTTATCATAGTTAGTGTGGTAGTTCAAATAGAAATGGCCCCATAGGATCATACATTTGATACCTGATTGCTTGATCATTAGGGAATGGTGCTATCTGACAGGGAGTAGGAGGTATGGACTTATTGAAGTAGGTCTGTCACTGAGGTTGGACTTTGGGGTTTCAGATGCTCAAGCCAGACCCAGTATCACTGTCTTCCTGCTGCCTGCTGTTCCAGATGTAGAACTCTCAGCTCCTTCTCCAGTACCATATCTGCCTGTGTACCTCCATGCTTCCCACCAAGATGATAACAGACTAAATATGTGAACCTGCAAGCCAGCCTCAATAAATGTTTTCCTTTATAGGAGTTACCAAGGTCATGGTGTCTCTTCACAGCAACAGAAACCCTACCAGAAACCTAAGAAAGTTATTATCTATTTTTTGTCACTAAAGGAAATATCATCAACCTTGATTTTTATTTTATTTATATTATAATTTATATTCAAAGTATTGTACTCTGCAAAATAGAACTCTTTAGTAACAACAAATGGGTTCCAAGTAGCCTACATATCAATGTACAATGTTAAGGCACACTATCCAGAAGCATCCCTGTGCCCTTCTCATGACAGAGGCTGAGCTTTTCCTTTCCCCTGCCATGCTCAAGAAGGCTTTAAAAACAGTAAGCAAATGGAAACCATGGTGGCCACCATAACAGACTAGCATCCTACTTAACTGTGCATAGACTCAATCGGGTCTCATTTCATCTGCTTACAATCCGCACCTCAGTGGCAATGCATTCTTTGTAGTCACAGGACTAGTTTCAGAAGCTTGATAGGAGATGTTGGGGAATGATACTGGAAAAGGATTACTAATTCATTAAAATTTGTTATCTAAGGAAAACTTTATAAATATAGAACATAAAACACATGCTATACACATTGCAGATTGTCCTCAGAAAACTGATTTTTCTAGAGAAATCCAATCACCTACCTTGCAGTTCTCCACTCCGACTATAGAGTTCCCTTCTCTGTTCTCGCAGATAGGCGCTCATGCTGATAGCATGAGAGGATGATTCGAACCTACAATGCAACACACAGTACCACATGGTTAAGTCACATGAATGGCATCTACCTATGTACTCCCCAAAAATTCTATTCTATTGTGCTCTGGTGTGTAAAACGTTTCCTGGAGTATAACAATTATAATTATGGCTTCTATTTTTTTTTGCTATACCATAAAAAAGCCAGAGACAGCTGGCCAACCCTTAGTTTATCAACAATACCCCTGTTACTGCTCCTCTAGTATTTGAATGTTGTTCTCACTGTCCATGTCACATAGACTAATCCTGACCTACCTCCACTTCCCTTTACCTTCAAATCAACATTACCATCAATGTAGTCATTGTCATCTGCCAGGATGCTTAGATATAGAACAAATGTATCCTACAAAGTTATTCTAATTATGCTAGTGCCCAAATCAAAGCCATCATTGACTATTGGCTGCTTCAGTAGATATATTGGCTATTCAGAGCCGTTCTCTTTCTGAATTGTAGAGTTAAAAGACTAGTGCATAGGAGACTCTACAAATGAACAAGTGACATCAAAGAGCAAGGCATCAATGGTTTCTTTCTAAATATTCTAAAAAGACTGTTTCCAAATGGCTGCTAGTTTTTGGCCTGCCACACAGCATTAGATATTGTCCAGAAATTGTTTACAAAGGTAAGAAACATGAGAAACAAACTTGTTACGGTAAAGAATGGATCTCTAAAAGCTAAAACAAGAAACACAAATCAAATTATTCATAAAGAATAGCTTACAGGTAAAAATAAAACAAAGTAAAATTACGACTATGTCAAATAGCAAGTCTTTGATGAGTAACAGATTCCATTTTTAATCTGAGGCTTTCAAAGCCAAAATAAGAAGCTGACAAAAGAAGGAATCCTTCTAAGAATTTTGCCACTAATGGGTCAACAACATAAGGATAGAGCAACAGAGTCCATGGGATCAGTAACTAGCAACAAGAAAGGAACATCATTTTCTTAATCATGTCTCTTTTATCCAGTCCTTGACAAGGAAGATGAATACCAAGACGAGTACCAGCCTGTGAAGGAAATACTTCAGTTACTTGATCTGCTCTATGCACCCCACCAGGAACTAAGAGGCACAAAGAGCCTGGAGGAAGGCAAAGTGTGCAGTACTTAAAAAGTGCCACCTGCCAGTCAAGTGCAGAAAAGAAGCCACTGACCTCCAAAAAGCCTGCTGACAGCTATTGATCAGAGATGGCAAAGGAAAAAACAAACTCTCAAGCGAAGAATAGAGAAGCACATGGTGTACAATAAGAGAGAACTCAAACACAATTAACCTTGGCTAAGGGCAATTAAGGAGGGTAATAAAGTCCTTAACAAATTCGATAGAAACAGATTACAGCTCTCCACAATCTGAGTCCTTTATGACTTGATAGACTTGCTATTCATAATTCTCTTTATATTTGCAACAAGTCACAGATTGAGATAATTTTATACTAGAAAAGGCATTCTTCAGTCTCACCTTATTTTATAGCCAAAGGCACTGAGGCATGCTCAGACATGAGACCTACTCAGGCCTGCATGGCTAATTAACAGTAGAACCATGTTAAAAGTGAGCAGATCTGTATAACTGCCCAGTTCTAGGACAAGGATGAGTTTTACTACTGACCAATAATAATAAATGTGTAACAATTATTTAAATTAAGTTTTTCTGCATTTCTAACAATTAGGGGCTTTTCTTTCTCCCACCCCCTCACCCCTATACCACAATTTAGCCAATGCTAAATGACAGAATGTGTTTGCATGGTCTGAGGCTGAAGACAGTGATGGTTGAGAGTATGACATATTAAACCCTAAAGCCTTATCTGCAATAAGCTTAGAAGGGTGTACTGGTTAGTTTTTATTGTCAATAAAACAAAAATCTGGGGGAAGAGAATGTTAATGAAGAAAAACCTTGATCAGATGGGCCTGTAGTGCATTTTCTTGAGTGCTAATTGGTATGGGAGGGCCCAGCCCATAGTGGATGTTACCATGCCTAATCAAGTAAGCCTGCACTGTATTAAAAAGTTCGGTGAGAAACCCAGAGGGAAAGAACAAATCAGTAAGCAGTGCTATCCTGTTCTTCCATATGTCCTGCTTCCGTTTCTGCCCTAACTATCTCAATAATGGACTAATGTGGAAGTTGAAGCCAAATAAGCCCCTCCATTCCAAATTTGCTTTCTGGTCTTAGTGTTTATCACAAAAAGAAAAAGTATATAGAGCAAAGGGTAAAAGAAGCATTCAAAGGAGAGAGGACAAGGAAGGAAGTGAGGGAGAGGGGCAGGGAGGGAGGAAGGGAGAGAGAGAGAGAGAGAGAGAGAGAGAGAGAGAAAGGAAAAGAGTAAGGGAAGGAGAGAGGCAGGGAGGGAGAAATAGACTGAGTGATATAAGAATATGAAAGTAATATGTACCCAAAACAGGAGTACAAGGCTGAAGAGAGAGAAAGGCACCAAAACCACTTAAGCAATAAGAAAGGGGGAGGGGAATACAAATAATACATACATACTTACATATACAAGCATACATGTTTTATTACTTTTAAAGTTATATTTATAATCAAGTTTAAATATTAAGCAACTTTCAAAAACTAAAAAACTAAGTAAAAATATGAAATAAGTAATGAAGAGCTCAAGAATAAGAATTTAAAGCTGTAGATTCCAAAAATAAGAATGTAGAAATAAAGAACTATAAAGTTGTAAGCCTAGGAGAATGGGAGCAAACTGTCAGCAGCTTTCTCAGCAGTTTAAGGATTAACAGTGGTTTACTTTGTTTTACAAAAAGCTCTATTTGCAAGGCTAAAGCAGCCCTCTGCCAACTGAGGGGTGCTCTGCAAATTGAGGATCATCTTTTAGATAGCCCTCACCAGCAACTGATGTGAGCTGAGTTAACTTTTACTGATAGAATGTAAGTGACTTGACTTTCTGGCTTTATGTTGTCCCATACCCTTTGCTGCTATGCAAAAGTGGCAGTAGCAGAGGAATGCAGAGCTTCAGTAAACACCATGAGCAAGTGCCAGAGAGAAACAATGAGCTAAATACAAACACTAGTTTAACTGAAAAAAACCTATTAATGGAAATTGTAAAGAAGGGCAATTTGTATCTCAGTTTTACCTCCAAACTGTAAAGGCTCTTTTGCTAATTGCCTAATGCTTCTTAATATAAGACGGAGGGTCAAAAGTTGTCCTTACAAATGCATCTCTGGCTGTGGTCTCAGCTGATAAAACTTTTGTACCACATGGAGATTTATTTTTTTTTTATTTTTTTTAAAAATTTTTCCTGGAATTAAGTTTGCTTCTCGTTTACTAGACTTAGTGGTCTGTCCCCACCTTTGTGCAACCCCCATGGACCCAACAAATAAAACGTATACAATGTGCTTATTTCTTTTAATTTTTTTTCCTTTTGACAACTAAAATTATGTGGTTTATGAAGATCATCATTCAGATTTAAGGATGAGAAAAGAGTATGGATATGGTTAAACTCAGGCCACAGGCACACTGGCCCTTGGCGAGTGTTGTTCACCTGTTGTTTTTAAAGTCCTTATTTGAGCAAAAAGAAACACTGTCTCTACAGGCTACTGCTACTGTGATTTGTCACTTGTGTTGTGTTAAAAGGCTTTTTCTTTTTTGGGTTTTTTTGCTGTTGTTGTTTTGTTTTTTTGACACAGGGTTTCTCTGTGTAGCTCTGGCTGTCCTGGAACTTGCTCTGTAGACCAGGCTGGCCTTGACTCAGAGATTCACCTGCCTCTGCCTCCAGAGTGCTGGGACTGAAGGCGTGTGCCACATCTGGCAAGGTGTTTTATTTTCCAGCTGGGGACAGGAACTGGATTCCAGAGTGAGTCTTCTTGTTTATATCTTCACTGCCACTTGCTAGCTGTTACACTTTACATAATTTAATTTCTCTCATACATCAATTATTGTTTGTGAAGACTTTTATATTTATAGCACTAAGTACGGAGTAGAGGTTCGATACTGCTGTTACTACAGTCACTGAAATTTTGTTAATACCGAATTAAACTGCTTAACTGGAATCACTTTGATAAACTCAGTGTTTATCAACCCCTGCACTTAAAAAGCATTCAATCAGCACCAGCTATTAGTAATATCAACATCAGTCTTAACTTATAAACAGTTAACTGTTACTAAAAAATACATACTCTGAGCACATGTCTTGGTAGAGTTCACTAACATAGTAATTAGGAAAACTTAAAAACCTTTTGGATAGCTCCTTTATTAAGGATCTAACCACATAAAGCCCAATACTGCTCAGCTAGGAAGAGCTGCATAACTCTTTTACAAGAGTTATTTCTTGGCACTTGAGGCTTGATTTTTCAGTGAGGACATATTTCATTTCCTATAAAATTCTCCAGAAACATCTGGGAAGTTTCGCTTTCCTTTATTTTGTGCAAAATTCTCTAGAATCAAGCTTTAAACATGTACTCGGCGTTATATTCTATAACGGTCATCCCACCTGAGAGAAGACAACATGAAAGAAAACAGACTATGTTCACTTCCTACAAACTGCATCAGGGGAGTAACTGTGTGGCTAAGGATGCCTTAGAAGCCCTCCTGCTCAGAAGACTCTTCACAGCTTGCACTCTCTCTCTAATACTGGGATACTTACTTGAAAAGTGAATTCTTTGGCCTTTGTGGTTTCTTCTTGGCAAAAAAGGCTGCGAACTCTCGTCCAGTACTGGCATAGCTTAGTTGAGCTGATGGCTCTGATGCAGTACGTGTGTTCTTCATATCCAAGTACTCAGTCAACAGCATCTGTGCAATTAGATGAGCAGATGAATTTATACATGTGCTATTGTACAAATATAATTCTACAACCTCATTCGGTTTAGAATATATTAACTTTATATTAACCTAGATATTCATTCTTCTAGTCAGAGATATAGGAAAGTTTTATTACAGCTATAGAATCATATACCTGTTAGCAATTCACAATGAATGGGAAGTTGTGAGTATTGGAACATGCCAGGGAGCATGCTGAGTGAATTAGTCAAAATTCTTCTTTACTCAGCATTTAATCCTCATCGTTCCAAAGTACAGCAGCATTAGCAGCAATGGCCTAATATTTGCTGAGTGCTTACTGTACTCTAGGAAAGGTACTAATCTATTTAGATGTATTAGGTTGTGGGGTTCAGAGAGATTCAGGAGCTGCAAAATAGTCCCTGGTTGACTAATGCCAGAGTCTACTCTGTGACACTTCATTCTTTCAGCACTGTAGATAAAAACAAGTCAGCAGACCTACCAAGGAAGACCAAGGAAATGGGCCTAAGAAGTGAATGCTCCAAACCACAAAAGACTTACCAGGGCTGCTATTAATCTTGAAAAGAGCAACTGTTTTTGTGTTCAACTACTTCAAACAGTACTCCTTATAAAATGCACCGTAGAGTCACAAGGACTGGAGCCTGTGCTAGATCAACCATGGCTACCAGAATTCGAAACACATTCATAAAAAAAAAAAAAATACAAATTTGGAACAGAAAGCCCAATAGTTCTTAAGAATACCTAATAAAGCTAAAGTAGCTAAACTCATTTCTATCATAGAAAAACTACCCATGAGTCAAGGCACTGATTTTCAGAGACTCAAGATCTCATCTGACTATTTATTTACTCACTAAACATTAAACTAAAAGCATTTCTGAGGCCTATGAGCATGATTTAGTAAGTCTGAAGGTGACTAAGCTTCTTCCACAAACAAACACACACTACTCAGTACTTAAACATTAAATTTTTTTTAACCATTAGCATTCTTTTGAGTCTCAAATCTATGAAGTCTGAATTCCACTTTATAATTGAAGAAGTGGAATTAGTATTAGGTCTTAAAGCTGTAAATGGACCAATTTCAACCTGGATTGATGGACACCAAATTCCATGTTCATGATCATTCTTACTAAGAACATTCTACAGGTAGCAATAGCTTCTGTATAATAAAAATTGTACAGGAAAACCACAAAATATTTTAACAGAATAAGAAAATGGTGTACTTACTTACAAGACCATTAGAGTATTATCCAGCAAGTACATAAAATAAAATAGTAACAAATATCACCCTGATAAACATCACTCAGCTGTCTGGTATCAGGAAGAAACTGAGTTGACTCTCAATGGACAGCTCAACTGAGAAACTTGATCAATTTCTAGACTTTGATAGCTGCTAGTAAGATATTCCACTATCTGTGATCAAAAGAAAGCTAGAAAACTCAAAAATAATTTAAAAGTAATACAGCATAGAAAGGTTTTTATCAACTCATTATGTCAGCCAAGTTTTGGCCTTAATACCAACAAAACAGAGAATGGCTCCTGCAAAAACAAAGTTACACTAAACCAAGTAATTCTTGTGAGGCACTTAATGTCCCAGGCTTCAATAACTGGACTCCACAATAAATAATTGACCAAAGAGGCACAACTAACAGACATTCCCCAAACCCAGGTATCTTAAGATCAGTGTTCTTTTTCTCCACATGAATAACATCCCTGAGTATGGCTTTGCAGCACTGTTCATTGGGCTATTTCTCTCCCCCAATTTATTTCTATCTACAAACATGTCCTACTACCCCCTTCTCAATAAAATTTACCTTCAGCCATTATATGCTTATCTGTAATATTTAATTCTTTTTTTGTCTTTAGGTTCCAAAGTTTTAAAGTAGCCTTCACATGTACTGTTTCCTATGTCGTGATATGCTTGACTGCTGATGTCTCTCACAAATTATACTCATGTGTATGAGTGTATGCACAACATTACTCAGTACATATTTCACTGACAAAATCAACTTTGTTAAAATAAATCATTTTCATCAGAGACAAACAGTTACTCCTTCTGTTGCCTTTTCATTTTTAAAGGCTTTTTATCACTTGCCTCTGGATTTAAATGCAGGACTGCTTTAACAATTTTTAATTATATTATAAAATGTAAATATATAAAACATTTTTAATTATAATATAAAATATAAATATAATATAAATCACGCATCCTGGGGCTAGTAAACTCATGAATCTCAGAGAAGAACCTACAACCACTAATTTACTATACCAGCATAATTCCTAACTACACTCTAAATACTTATCCTTTTTTTCACAAATAAGTGTAGTTCTAATCTCTCTTCTCAGAAATTTCTCTCTGCAACAAATGGGAATCATTACAGAAAATAATAATAGATCAAACTGTAGAGACTGTGTGGTGTCCAGTCCCAAATGATGTATCTACAAACACAATTCCTGCACCTAAGAACTGTTTTTGGGGGCGGGCATTGGTGACACGTGCCTTTAATCCCAGAACTCGGGAGGCAGAGGCAAGAGGATCTCTGTGAGTTCGAGGCCAGCCTGGTCTACAAGAGCTAGTTCCAGGGTAGGCTCCAAAAGCTACAGAGAAACCCTGCCTTGAAAAACCAGAAAAGAACTTTTGATGCAGCCTCACATGCTCTCATATATTAATGAGTCTGTCTTACTGCATTATTTGTGTACCCATTCCTGACCCCTCTGACAGTTTAGTCCACCAGAGTTTTTTCATTCAATTCTCTTCTTCTCTTACAATTCCACTACTTCCAGTCTAACAATCTGGCTTCAAAATTATATTTCCTTTGAACTGTACTTTATTCCTCCCAGCAATGTGAACCCAATATTTCAATCAAGTCTACTTACTTCAATTCTTCCCTAGATATATATGTGTCTTATCATTTCTGGAGTCCTAGCCTAGATCACCTGGCTCTAATAAATTCTTTAAAGAGTAGTGTCAATGTCTTCTCTTTAGCAACTCCTTTGTAGGCCACTCTCAGCAAATTGTTCCCTTTTCTGAAATCCAAAAGCACCATTTTCTATATTGTCAAGTAAGTAGTCACCAAAAAATCCCCTCATACTGTCATCTCTTAATTTAAAGTGTTTTATTTCTTTATTTCTACTATAGAGTCACGCAACAAACAGCACTATTTATATATCAAATTTAGGTATAAAAATGTGATAATACATAGGCTGTTATACATGAGCTGAAGACAGTTTACAAAATAGAGAATTAACAATGTACAATTAGTCCTTAGTACACAAATCTGTAAGACAAGAAAAATCTGAGAGGGATAGGCATGATCTGAACTGTAGACTAAATGGCTGTGACATTAGTTTGCTTCACTGTATTTGACTATGCCACCAATCCTGTTTATTGTATGCACATGTATTTGTGTGTGTATGCATATACATATTGTGTATGTGAACTTGCTAGAAACTAGATTGCTTTTAAATGAAGTAACATTTCTCTTGATAACAAAATCAAGGTAAATTTTTAAATATCTCAATAAAGAACAACTATAAAAGTCCCTATCCATAATCTGTTTGAAAGGTAACTGATTTGGGTAAGTGAAGTCTTCTAAGTTAAAATCGTGACACAAACATCAGATACCTGGAGTAAAACATAACTAGTAGCATGGAGTACAGCTCACTGGCAGAGTATGCTCAACCCCAAGAATCAAAATCTAAAATAAATAATAAAACTATGGAATTTCATATGATGATTCTATATCTTAGTAGGCAATGAATCATATATTCTAAATTGCACATACAAATTTTAAACACATATTCAGAAGCTCAAAATTTCATTTCATTAAAGACATTTGAGACAAAAACATCTATGATCTGGGACAAAGATCATTACATTTAATATAAAATATATTCATATAAGAAATCAATATAAGATAACCCCAGATTCCTGAGTTTCCAGATTCCTTCCTATTTCAGGTACTAATATGCTTTGTACTTTTAACTAGCAATAATAATTTTTTTAATGCTCTAGAGTTAAAAAACATGCGAAAGTCTGTAGGTGTCTTACATTTAGCTTATTAGATTTTAATGTGTCAGACTGAAGAGAACAAACACAAAGAACAGATGAAAAGAAGATTAAAATCTATATATCGTGAAATGATACCATGATTCATTATATTTTTTAAAGCCCTGCAATGCTGAATGGCTCTCTCTACAGAGCAAAGATATATACAGCTATAAAGAATATAGAAACTGAAATTAAGGTAGGAACTCTGCTACTGTGCTATCAGCAGTTGCTACAGTGTTGGTTAGAAATGCTCTCATGTAAAGGCAATGATAACACTCTGAGATTGAAAAATTGCTGAAACACTGCTAACAACATCCTAAACGAACTCCTTGCTCGCCATTTAATCTTATTTATTTAGTATATTGCCTGTGGGAAGTTTGGAGTTATGCATGCCAAGTTTTCTAAAAATAAATATGAAAGTTTTAGGCTTAGAATTAATATGACTCCACAAGCAAGGAGAAGATGCCTTTCCACGTGTGAGAGAAGAAAAGCTTTGACATTTTGGCTTCTTGGGGTACTATTATCTCCATATTCTTTTCTGTGTTATTTGTGCAGTGATCTTTTTACTTCACTGTATCTATCTTACTATTAAATGTAAGTGTACAGCACATTGGAGAGTAGGTAAAATTACTACTATTCAATAGGCTCACAGCCAAATGGAAAATATTTCCAAAAGAGGCAAGCCTAACATTAAGTTGGTGGTAGAAATAAGTATTTCATACTCATATGGGGATAAAATGAAACACTCAAGAAAATTGCATTTTTAAAAAGCTTTTTGTTTATCTAGCTCATACACTTATTCATAGTTTATGTGTGTGTCTACATTGTGTAGATGTATACACAGAGCTAATAAATCTCAATAAAAGGACTGTACAGATAGTAATGATTCCTGCCTTCCAGGAGATTACTGTCTTGTCTTCTCTATGAACCCAACTAGCTCACTCCA